ACCTGCATATTCGGGGAGTTTTCGCTACACCACAAGAATAAAAAATGGAATCGAGTCAAAATATGTGTTGGCAGTGCGGGAGTGTGGCCCTGCTTCACACAATAATACACAGCAATCATGTTCCCCCTTGCTCTCTCGGTGGGCAGATCGTTGCGGATCGAGGAATATGGCGGCCGGAGGGGGCGTGCGGTGGCGGTGATCCACTCCCGCGCTGGCAAGCCAAGGAAAAGAACGAGAGTGATTTGATCATTCTTTTAGTTGGTGATAGACAAATTTAAAATAAAATAAAAATTATGTACGGAATAGAAGAAAGAAAATGGGGCTTTGGATTTATGACACCCACCAACTCTGTGCAAGCGCCCGAGGTTTGGCGGGTGGGAAGGGGGGGGATCAAATTATTTTTAAATTTCGGAGATTACAAAGGGGTTTTTTTTTAGTTGTTCGCCTTTTTGGCCCATTTTCATTTCCTTATCGACGGGGCAGAAAAATGCGAATGGGCGATGAGGCAGCGTTAGGCACAACCGTTTGTGCTCCGGCGATTGGTGGTCCACTGATTTGGGGACAGAGGATTCTTTCTTTTTAGCTTTTTCAGTTTCAGGTACAAAAGTTACGCTGCGTAAACATCTCACGTCCACAGAAATGTCTACCAGATGAGGGACCAAAAGCAGGCGAAAGAAGACGTGCACAGCCAGTTCTCCAAAAAGAAAAGGGGGAGAGGAGTAGTAACTAGTTAGTAGTAATCATTAGATAAGGCTAGGACAAAATGAAGGATCGATATACAATACCAATATGAAACTGCACAGAGCGTGGCGTGGAGATGTGCCTGTCTGAATGAGAGTATGCTCCGTAGCAAGGGAAACGATAGATGTCGATAGACGTGTATGATACAGTACATAGCACCCACCTATTGCCGTTTTCTATCAACACCAGATGTTTTTTTTTAGCAGCGATGTGTCAATAACAACTGGTTGGTGGTGTGCGGTGAGCGAGCATGGTCGTGCCTAAGTACCAGGTACCGTCTGCCACGCCCGGGATAGGCTTGTTTCTGGGTACCAGTACCCGCATTGTTTATTGGCTGCTGTGGGCTCGCCTTTTTCCCTCCAACTTCGACGTCAACTCCCACGCCAACTCCAACTTTCTGTTCATCGTCTCCCTACCGGCTACGCTGCGATCTGCCTTGGCCGTCAACCAAGACATTGGGCACTCTTCTTTTGCTCCACGCGACCTGCCAATCTCTCTGTGTCTTGCCTTGGCCTAGACCCGCTTCTCGTACTCGTTCTTCCTGCATTCGCCCTTCTCTAGGCCTTTTTGTCCCTGCGTGAAGCGCCGTCGGTTCGTTATACCTCCCTTGGCGGAAGAACAGCACCCCGCGCGTGGCATAGTGGATCAGCTTGCTGGATATTACTTTTCTTCCATGGTTGCAATCTTTATCTGGCTGGGAATTGCTGTCAGTCTGTGTGATTGTTGACACCAGAGTCCAACCCTTTCTCCGCTCTGGATGATCCCCCTTGATCCGCGTCGAACTCTCTCTGGATACCGCTGTCTTCTGTCCAAATCTCATCTAACTCTCTCTCTCACTCGCCATGGCGTCCTCGTAAGTGTTATATACTAATAGTTGAATGGATGGATGCTTTGCGTTCCCTCTCGCAGTGATAATGGAAGCTGACCCGCTAATTTATTCGAAGTCTGGGCTCGGCATTTCGCTCCTTCTGGCATACCATGACCTCTAATGACAGACACGCCTCCCACGACTCTCCCTATCGAACCGGACAGCATGTTCCCCTTAGCCAGAACCGCAATGCCCCCCTCACATCCGTGGCTACAAGCGCTGCTGAATCTCGTGCGGATCTGAGCTTCGAAGAAAATCCCGCCAAACGATCCTCCAGTCCTGCGTGGTCAGGTTCCCATGGGGGAGTCACCTCTCCCGTTAGACCCTACTCGCCAGGCATGAGGTCGTTATCCTCCCAGCAGAGAAGGTCTAATGAACTCAGTAGCTCGGATGGTGTTGCTCCGACGGAAATACAAATGCAGAGTTTCCATGCCGGCGCGCCGCCCCCTCCACCTGTCTCACATTCTTGGAAAAAGATCGATCAATGGGCAGAAAGCAACTACGAAGAACTTTACGATCAATTGTGCGAAGGGTGCTCGCAGAATGATGTGAACGAGCTGGAACATGAACTGGATTGCACTCTTCCACTAGAGGTTCGGGAATCTCTGCAAATTCACGACGGACAAGAACGCGGTGGAAGACCAACAGGTATTATCTTCGGCTGCATGTTGCTCGACTGCGAGGAAATCGTCCAGGAATGGAAAAATTGGAGGACTGTGAACGAAGAATTCCTCAGCACAACCTCTGTTACCCCTCCTCAACCACCCATGAAAGCCTTTGGTGGAAGCTCCGCCGCTTCCTCTTCATCAGCGCCTCCGCCGCCACCACCTCAAATAGGCTCGAATCCGTTATGGAGACAGGAATTGTTGGACAAACAAGATTCGCAGCCACCAAAGGCCATCCAGAAAGCATATGCCCACCCCAGCTGGATCCCTCTGGCTCGTGACTGGGGTGGAAACAACATTGCCGTTGACTTGGCCCCAGGGCCAGCGGGGAAATGGGGCCAGGTTATCATATTTGGCCGTGACTATGACTGCAAATACGTCGTTGCAAGATCATGGGCCGCCTTTCTTGCCATTGTTGCCGAGGATCTTGCTCCCCAAAATGA